CCGTTTCCTTTAAAGCATTTGTGATGTTAGCAACAGCTTCATCAAGTGCACTGATCATCCCGCAGTAGGTCCTTCGTTTTTCGTCATGGATATTCTTGTACAAGTTCTCATACTCAGGGGGAACTTGTAGTGGTTCATGTACTGCTTGATATGGTAAATACAAATAAAGTGGCGTGTTCTTTTCGTGAGATTTGATGATATCAACTGCCCGTTCTGCAAACACGCGAGTTGAATATTTACCTTTCGCTTCCGTATATACAGAAGTATTAAAGCGAAAATCATATCCAGAAAAATTGTCATATCCTCTTGTGTGGTTAAAATAATCCTCAGCTCCGGTTAAATAGCCAACGAAGGTATCAAAGCCACGGTTGGTCGGAGTGTACTTTATGTTACAGAAGCCTAAATGCCACTTCCCAACAGCATGGGTGCTGTATCCCAGTTCCTTTAACTTCTGAGGGAGGAGGGTGAACTTCATGGGAACAAAGCCAGGAGATGTTGGCCTGATGACGCCGTCCTGTAGTCCAGTGTGATAGGGGAAGTACCCAGTCATGAAACAGTTTCTGGATGGTGAGCACACGGGCTGGACATAGGAGGAGTTGAGGATGACTCCGGCTTTGGCCAACTTGTCCAGGTGAGGTGTCAGAACCTGTGGATTACGGAAACCAACATCGTTCCAGCCCAGATCGTCTGCAACTATGAACACGATGTGTGGGCGCGCTGCTTGACTTCCATTAAGGTAAACGAAAATAAGAGCAATAGTTGCAACTAGACGTGCATCCGTCATGGTTGACACTGCTGTACTGCGGGTCCGGCTTCAGCGGAGATAGCTTTATCGCCTCCTCCACATGTGATATCAGTCGTTGTGCCTGTGATGACATTGCGATATCGCTCACATCCGACCTTGGTTCCGGAACTATTACGTATGAGTGTTATGAAGGTCAAGGTCTATGTGAGACTAACATCTCGTCTCTGGAATGAAACTATCTTGCAGAAAAAAAATAGATGCTAATTAATTTTTCTAAATTATGACTGAAAGGATCCAAGAGACTTTCTTCGAAACTGGAAAATTTAACCTTTGACTAGTCTTGAGAATCTTATGTAATGCACAGTATCTATAAACCCCCAAATCAATTCAATTCTCATTTAAATGTTCATATATAAATGGTTAATACCCATAACCACGCACATTACAAAACACCTCTTAAAAATAAAGTCAGCATAACTGATCTAAATAAATATGTGCTAGACATCGATAATACAAAATATATGTACAAGAGTTTGCCTCGGGAACTACTTTTTATAGATAAATGACAATTTGAAGAGATGTTTGTTAGATTTATTGGATAAAAATGTATGTCTCATGAGATATTTTTATTATGCATGATTATGATCAGTAGGAGGCGGTGTAAGGTTTTCCAAATGGTTTATTGTGTGACAAAAATTGGTTCGTTCGTTTGTTTTTTACGCCACACTCAGCAATATTCCAGCTAAATGGCGGCGGCCTGTAAATAATCGTAAATACAACTGTGATGTTCATGGCATTTCTGATTATGGTAACTCTTCGCTAAACAATTTTGACGTTTTAGCTCACTTTAATGTTTAGTTAGGTTATTTGTCATTTGAGCAAAGACTCAGATTTCGCTCACTTGTTTCCCGATGTACCTGGCCGCACAGATTTAGTGTACCATGCGCTGTGCCTGTGGAAGGACATCCTATTGGATGAATCTATTGAATGCCTGAAGAAGGAAGTTCAATACATGCTACACCACATCATAGTCTCTGAACTGCTCCTAAATTCCCTAAAACAAAACGGTACATATGAGATTTCCGAGTTTGGCTAGTTGTAAATTTTGTTAAGATTTCTCAAATGTTGCAGTCCCTCTGGCTAATTTGCTGTGCATAAGACTGAAATGTGTGAGAAATTAAATATTTTGAGAATTTTAAAGCCATCTTCATAAATTCTCTTAGAGCCAAACTTTGAAAAACCGTTCCGATTGGCACTAGATATTAGTGTCATTGCCGCTGGTACTGTCCTGTTGCAAGGAGAGGCTTCAGCCTTTGATCAACCTGCTTGTTATGATTCACAAACATATTATAGACATGAGAGAAGTCATTCCTCCATTGAAACAAAACGCCTTTCTCTGTTACTAGCTTAGGAACAAATTCAAGTGTACCAGGATACTATTTAGTTTCCTGTACAGGTGTACAATGATCACAATCCACAGACTTTTAAAACGAATATACAAAATCAAAGCCTAATGCGCTTCATCTTGGGATACACATCAAACATATAAAAGACAAAAATATCTTTGCTGATGCATTATTGGGAGTTGGCTGAGTGTGATCAGTTTTGGCTGCCGATATCTTATGCATTTTTATACATATTTCTATATTTATACATATATGTATAATGCATACTTGTATTTACTGTACCTAGACTGACTGAGTTTGGTTTTACGCCGCTTTTAGCAATATTCCAGCAATTTCACGGCGGGGACACCAGAAATAGGGCGTCACACATTGTACCCATGTGGGTATTCGATCCCGGGTCTTCGGCGTGACGAGCCAGCGCTGTAACCACTAGGCTACCCAACCGCCCCTACCGTACCTAGAAGAATATTTGGACTTGTGTATGTGTGCAGACCAGGGCCTGACTTCTCGAAACAAACTTAAGTTTTTACTCAAATTTCAAACTGAGTTTGAGAATTTGAAACGGCGGAATTTTTAACTCAACTGCATTTTAAAAAAAGCCCAAACAACTTAAGCAATCTATCCACCAAACTCCAAATGTCTACTCTGTTCGAGATTAATATCGATTTCAGTTCATTCTGGTAAATGCATTTCCTGTGTTTTCTCAAATTTGAGTAAAAACTCAAACTTAGGTCAAATCTTAGACTTAAATTTGTTTCGAGAAATGGGGGCCAGGTCTCGTTAATGAGTGGCTGAAATAATGCTGATGCAACGTAAAATGAAAACTCACTTAAACTCACCCTGAGACGATTTTGTACTGTACTTACGGACGAAAGTTCTCACTATGTTAAACTTTCTTTCTTCGAAGGGGCACAGTTTTATATGAAAGTTTATTTTTATTCTTTCTTTCTTTATACAACAGTTTCATAGTCGTATGGGGCGTGCCAGTTGCTATAATAATACTTTGAGTAAAATCTGGAAATTTCTAGAACTGCATAAGTCTGTCCAGCTTAGTATATTCCAGCACATTAGGGGATGTTCTGGAAGAGGTTTGTACTAATCCTTGGGATCAAGATCGTCCCTGTTTCATGTCACATTTCAGTGAGATTAGCAGTCTGTGAAAATCGCCATTACCCCCTGGATAACTAGCATGGGCTTGTTTTATATGTTTGACTATTGACATTTCTTTGTTGTTTGTAAATATTGTCCTTCTGAGAGGGTACGTAAGTCCCGAAACATTCAAAGTAACTTTATTCTTACCATCTTTTCAGTCGTTGAATATGTGTCATTTTAATGTATGGCTAGATTTGACTGAATTGCTAACGGCTGAAGGGATGGTGTAAATCCAGCTAGGGTCCATGCAGGAAGCAAATGTACTGTAAGTCCCCATGGTCCCTAGTATGGTGAGCTACCTTCGGTTGTTGGCAATATATAGCCTGTTTTTATATTGTATTGTCTTCTATAGTTAAAAGTTTTTACTTTTTCATACTAGTTTTATGTCTATATCTGAGATCCTCTAGTTACTTTACTGTCCGTCGTTGACAGGGTTTTATAATTTGACTTAAATTATTGCGACTTTGTTTATTATTCAAATCCTCGTCACGATATGGCTGCAATATTGCCGATGTGACGGTAAATTTTAACTCACTCACTTTGTTGTTTGTTGGTTTTACACTACATTCCTTTACATAATGATTTGTTTGTTAACTGGTGTTTCAAAATATAAAATATAGAAAGTTTGGAAATCGACACAATACAGGTGACAGATAATTCGGTTCTAAATATACTTAATGGTATCAACTGGCATGTTTTTCCTAAAAGTATCCATATATACATCAACAATGATATCCTGTACATGATCATATTGTCTCTATGAACCTTCTTGTGGTATTGTTTAGTTTTTAACCATCTTCCTCATGCCTTGTAAAAAGTATTATTGTCAAAAGTTTCAATGATATGACAAAGGATATGAGCATATTTTGATGGAGGCCCTTTACCTAAAATGATTCTTTTGCTATGATTCTCGTCAGTTTGGTTGTTCTGACACAATTTTGAGATGCACTCTTAATCACATTCGTTATTAATATCATGGAACAGATTTCATGATTTCGTTGCAAATGCATATAGTCTGATGTCTCTGTACGTAATGCGACGATACGATCTATTATGAGAGCAGATTGGAGTAAGCGATCCCAGGTTGTGTAGTGTGATTAAGTGATTGAGTTTTGTTTTACGCCCTATCAGCAATATTCCAGCTATATGGCGGTGGTCTGTAAATAATCGAGCCTGGACCAGACAATCCAGTGATCAACAGCATGAGCATCGATCTGCGCAATTGGGAACCTATGACATGTGTCAACCAAGTCAGCGAGCCTGACCATCCAATCCCATTAGTCGCCTCTTACGACAAGAATTGGTTACTGAATGCCAATATTCTAACCCGGACCTTCACGGATGTGTTGTGTAGTGTAAATGTGGTAGTCACGCAAACGAGTACAACCGGTGGATATAGCTTCAACATGAACTCCAACAATAATATGATCCGTAGGGTTGAGTTGAGATACTTGATGTCATATGAACGAGAATAAGAGTAAGTATAATGTTCTATCATAATGTTCTAAATATATACTCGCCTGGACTAGCATGACGAGGGAACGAGAACAGTCAAGCAGATATCGGAATAAACCAAGGTCGAAAGTCTTGCATACGTACATTATCAACATATCAAAGTTGACATGTAGGTTACATATTGTCCTCGTTTACATAGATTACAAAATAGAGATAGGCGACAAAGGACACAAAAGTGTGTATTTTGGCTGAACCGCTTTACTTCTTAAGCGTTCATATAGTTACATATGAACTGTTGTTGAACACGCCTAGTAGTTTCAAACTGTCGTCATTCAATATTTGAGTATGAATCTTTGTAATCCAGTCTTGAAACAATGATATCCTAACGTTACATTGTATGTCTACTCATAACCATACAAGAAACATGAATAAATAGTTTCACTTATGCTTCTGATAGACTTGATCCGTCCACACTATATCGAAACCTGATCTTATACATATATATGAATGAATGATGACTCAAATTATTACGTGTTGTCGCGATACTTTTCCCGATGCAAATGATGTATCAAAGCGCAAAAATGAATATTTCAAAAATTGAAACGTATAAAGTAACCATTGTTACAAAAACGTCTTGAAAAGAGGTACATGTAATTATAATATAACAATCAATGGGACTAAACTGAAAAGTATCCAGAACCTATTTTATCGCCGATAGGCAATGATATTAAAAATATTATTTTGGTAGGCAACAAAATACCATATTCAGCACCAGCCTGGGCTCCAGTTGCCGCCATAGAGTTCTGGATTCGATTTAGGGTCAGACGGTGGTTGATAAGCTGGTACTCGCGTCTTCTCCCAGTTTTCAAGGCGTAGTTTCATCATCGTTACAAGCTCAGGGTACTTTGCAGACAGGTCGAAATGTTCAGTTGGGTCGGAGGTGATATTGTACAGCATATACGGAGGGAACTTGTCCTTGTTGTCCTGAAGAGTGACATCTAGGAAAATAAGAGCAGCAATCGCTAGGAACTGATTAGGCGTCATGACTGAAACAGTTGCTTTGTTCATCTGGTTTACAGACACTGTTGCATTCCTGATCTGGATTTATCGCCCCTTCTGCACGAGTGCAACCACGTGGACAGATGCCTTTTGCATGTGACATTTCTCAGCGATATTCTTCAAATCTGACCTGGATCATGATCCATTTATCTATACAAGTATTCGTGGTATTTTGTCTCTGAAATGAAAACATTTTACAGAATGAATTGTTCAGTTATAAGAAATATGATAAAAATTAGCCTAGACACCTTCTTCAGAAACTGCAGTGTTCTTGACTGACTATTTTAGAGATGCATAGCTTGTAGTGAATGTAATTGTTTCGGGTCTGTATGACCGACAATGACTTGATTAAGTTGATGCTAACACCAGCACATACATTGAATGATATGATGAATAAATAGTTTAGCAGACTGTCCCCGCTATTTTATACTTAATTATTTGTCGAGGATTATATTTCTGTCCTCGATTGTTCCAGACTCCATTATTTACAGATCGCCGCATAAGCTGGAATATTGCCGAATGCGGTGCAAAACTAAACTCACTCACATACATACACGAGTCAGTGACTTGACTCGAATATATACAGACTTGACTCGCTGCTCTTTCTTTATGGGTGGTTCACTTGGTCGAATCTCCGCACTCCCATGTACAATGTCGTATCCTTCTCACATGCCAAGGTATGCCAGGGTTTCATCCCCGGTTCTCCTTTATCAATAATTCTTTCTTTCCTCCCATCAAACGCCGAAACCCGTATCAGTCTGTTCTTTCCTTCCATCAAACGCCGAAACCCGTATCAGTCTGTTCTTTCCTCCCATCAAACGCCGAAACCTGTATCAGTCTGTTCTTTCCTCCCATCAAACGCCGAAACCCGTATCAGTCTGTTCTTTCCTCCCATCAAACGCCGAAACCTGTATCAGTCTGTTCTTTCCTCCCATCAAACACCGAAACCCGTATCAGTCTGTTCTTTCCTCCCATCAAACGCCGAAACCCGTATCAGTCTGTATCAGTCTGTTCTTTCCTCCCCATCAAACGCCGAAACCCGTATCAGTCTGTTTTTCCTCCCATCAAACGCCGAAACCCGTATCAGTCTGTTCTTTCCTCCCATCAAAACGCCGAAACCCGTATCAACGCTGTTCGTATCAGTCTCCCATCAAACCGCCGAAACCGAAACCGTGTATCAGTCTGTATCAGTCTGTTCTTTCCTCCATCAAACGCCGAAACCCGTATCAGTCTGTTCTTTCCTCCCATCAAACGCCGAAACCTGTATCAGTCTGTTCTTTCCTCCCATCAACCGCCGAAACCCGTATCAGTCTGTTCTTTCCTCCCATCAAACACCGAAACCCGTATCAGTCTGTTCTTTCCTCCCATCAACCGCCGAACCCAGTGTCAAATGCATCCCTAGTACTCCAATACGTGTCGTAAAAGATGACTTTTGGGACAACCTTTTTACTTTGGGTTGCGCACTTTATCAGACGCAACACTAGAAAACATCACCATCTCCTGTTGTTAATAATACCGGAATAAATGTACATTATTCACAAATGAATATGGTTACATGCTAGTTTTAAGTTTCAAACTGTGATAGTCTAGTTATTTCACTGTCCTTTGTCGACAGGTACTTATATCCAGGTTTGTTTTATTAATATACAACTTTCGTAATCTAGATATGGCTAAGATACTGTTGATGTGACTTCAACTCACACAATCCTATCATTCCGTTTCTCCTCCCTAGTTGTGTTGTAGTGAAGCAAGATGAGATCCATGGGTATTATGTTCTGAATGTCAGTCTATGGGATGTTACAATTAGATATTATATACATATGGACAAAATCGCAATACCTATGATTTGTAACCTCCATACAGCCATATGTATTAATATTATAATGATGTTAGTTCGTATGACTATGTTGATCCTACGGGCGCACCATACATTGATTTCAGATATGCACGTACTACAATCAGAGGCGAGCACCACGAGCATTACGTGTACCCATCATAAAGCAAATGTCAAGTTTCAGTTAACTGTTCTTACAGCATCTTTACTAGGAAAATCAATTGATTCCGTTATTGATATGCAAATATGGGGCCTCCTCTACTGATAACTGTCAAAGATGCTGTTGATCACTGTATTGTCTGGTCTATTGCAAGATTGTTGACAGACCATCCGCCGTCTATCAGCCAACTGGCCGAGTCACCAACAGCAAACTAATGACGTCAGCGTTTAGGTCAGGATGACGGGATGATGCAGCTCTTTTCAGATTCACAGGACTTCGCCACATTAGAATCCTTAGTCAGAATCCACTCACCCCGAGAAACAACAAACAACAGATACATGTACATTCCTGCATCAGCTCCACATACTTCACCTGGCGAGACAACATATATCAGTTGTAATTCTTTGGCATTACGATGTGCCACTTTCTTAGTCAATTTATACGGATAATAAGCAAATTTGAGATTTTTGCCTGTTCCCTCGTTATTGTTAATGGTAAACGTGTTCATACTATGAAAACTATGGGGTGTTGGGATACCTTTTAGCGTGTGTATACTTTCACTACCACCCATGCATCTACATAATAATTAGCGAGGTCAGAATACTGTAGCTTCTGGAATAGCGTTACTGTCCTTCGTTGACAGGTGTTGATAATTTATTTTTAATCATTATAAATCTATAATTTGTTTTAGTCACGATGTGGCTGAAATATTGCCGATGTGACTTAAAATCTCAACTCACTCACTCACTCACTCACTCTGGAATAGCGTCCATTTTCTGAAACAGAAATCAACATTCTTTAAAATGCTTTCAGAGACGCAACCACACCTACTTACATAGATAAGCAGTTACGAAATTCCGGTCAAATATGTCATTATCACTGAGATTTGGGAAAGGTATGCAGCAAATGTCCACGTGGGATAGAGGCGTCGATAAAACCAGATCTGGAATGTAGCAGTCTCGCAAAGCCAGATCATCAACACAGCAATGTCAGTCATGACACCTGCTGTTGCGACTGTTGTACTTATTTTCCTTTACCTACATGGAAGTCAAGCAGCCAGCCCACACATCGTGTTCATAGTTGCAGACGATCTGGGCTGGAACGATGTTGGTTTCCGTAATCCACAGGTTCTGACGCCACACCTGGACAAGTTGGCCAAAGCCGGAGTCATCCTCAACTCCACCTATGTCCAGCCCGTATGTTCACCATCCAGAAACTGTTTCATGACTGGGTACTTCCCCTACCATACTGGACTACAGGACGGCGTTATTAGTCCAACATCTCCTGGCTTTGTTCCCATCAAGTTCACCTTCCTCCCTCAGAAGTTAAAGGAACTAGGATACAGCACCCATGCTGTTGGGAAGTGGCATTTAGGCTTCTGTAACGCAAAATACACTCCGACCAACCGTGGCTTTGATACCTTTGTTGGGTATTACATGGGTGCCGAGGACTATTACAAGCACTCAAGAACATATGACGGATATTTTGGATATGATCTACGCTTTAACACTACCGTCTATAAAGAACCCGTTGGTAAATATTCAACCCATGTGTTTGCAGAAAGGGCAATTGATATCATCAAATCTCACGACAAGAATACGCCACTCTACTTGTATCTGCCATATCAGGCAGTACATGAACCTCTGGAAGTTCCCCCTGAGTATGAAAACCTGTACAACAATATCCACAACTTAACACGAAGGACCTACTGTGGTATGATCAGTGCCCTTGATGAAGCTGTTGCTAACATCACGAACGCTTTAGAGGAAACGGGACTCATTGACAACTTGCTGTTGGTGTTCACGACTGACAATGGCGGGCCTTATTGGCATTCTGCAAATAATCTTCCTCTACGTGGAGCTAAGGCTACACTGTGGGAAGGTGGAACGAAAGGAACTGGATTCATCTACAGTAAAACCCTTCTGAAAAAGACAGGCTACCTCAACACTGGAATGATGCATGCTGTGGACTGGTACCCGACCTTGGTGGAGCTGGCTGGTGGAAAGAACACAGATCCCAACATGGACGGAGTCAGTCAGTACGACATGCTGATCAATGGTGGACCGAGTAAGAGGAACGAGTTCGTCTACAACATCTACGACAAGTCCAATTCCTCAGCAATTAGATATGGCGATCTCAAACTGATGCGAGGGTCACCGGGAAGTCACAATGATTGGGATCCTCTTCCAACGTCTGGTGAGAGTTCAGATGTCCCTCCCCATGAAAACAGGGACAAGTTCCCTCCGTATATGTTGTACAATATCACCTCCGACCCAACTGAACATTTCGACCTGTCTGCTAAGTACCCCGAGCTTGTAACGATGATGAAACAACGCCTTGAGAACTGGGAGAAGACACGAGTACCAGCCAATCATCCCCCGGCTGACCCTAAATCTAATCCAGATCTCTATGGAGGCAACTGGAGCCCAGGCTGGTGCTGAACATTGTATTATGTTGGCCAGTAAAATCAGAGATACAATACGTGATTGACACTCTTCAATATGATTCCGTTGATTGTTTGCTTTAATTACTCATTGATGCATCTTTTAGTGATATCTCGTAGTACCATCTAAAAAGACGACATCCATATCGACTTCCACTAACGTCGCGTTTTGATACGTTACTTACATCTACAAAAACAACAACAACCGAAACGACGCCTTAAAAGAATACATAAGACGATACTAGTATGTCTCCATTCATTCGGAAATATCTTGATGGCGATCAAGTTTCCATGTACCGAGGACGGGTATAGCACTGGTGACACTATCTATTATCACGATCAACGATCATAATTACTGATGTATTCATGTAAGTAGCCACCTGTATACGGTAATGGCTGAGGTAATCAGAGATAATGTGGAGTTATTAACTTCACGTATTGATTTGATAACTATATGTTTAGTATAATCATTGCATATAAGGTTTTCAAGTAAAGTAATACAACACAATACATGTTTAAGCTTCATATAACATCTAATGGTAATGAATAAAATCTTATATTAAATATGCATGTGTTCCTGTATGTTCCTGACGAAATCTCCTTTACATCATGGTCGTGATTCTGTATGTCTGTGTACTGGTTGGGAGGATGATACATACAAATGTATTGTAAGTGAACAGCCGCCAACGATTGTGCAGCTATGAAGTTCTCAAACAACACTTTTGTTGAACAGTAAATAACGCTAAGGCAATGCCACGGCTTGCTGAAAGTTAAAGTTCACACGCCTGAGAATATATTGGAACCAAGAATGGTGTATGACGAAGTAGATATGCTTATAATGCTCACCAATACACCCACTATGTTATCTTTGGAGACGTTTTCTACAACAGGGAAATAAACACGACTTGCAGTAGCCTGGTCGTGCACATGTGACCTCACGTCAACAGGTCAACCATATCCGGTTGGTGCATGTATGGAATTGGACCAATCTGTCACATTAACATCTAGTGTCACAAAACTGGGTGCAATTTGTGTTATATATTGAGGAGATGATTAACTGCGTCGTGGCTGAAGAGAAGACACAAGAGATTTTACAAAGGTTGTCAACAGGAAGTGTTCTAAAGGCGCCAAGACAGAATTTCAAGCCTTGATGGTGTAACTAATTTAAGTTATTTACTCACATATGCCCCATAATAAACGATCAGTCCATGATCGAATTTCGAGCGAATAATTGATCCATAGGACGGTTGTTCGATCTCTTTCTTACGATAAGTTTGACACGATTTTCAACAGACAAAAGTCTTCGAGCATTAAAAGTTTAGATACCTGATATGTGACAAACAGTGCTTAGATATTGTATTCTTCTGATACTTAAAAGGGCAGTACCATCGACACAAAATTCTGGATCTAAAAGGGGTTTATCCCTTAAACAAAATGAATACAGTTCGTCTTGGATTTTGAAAATTGAAATCATTTCCAAGAAACTAATTCTACACATTATGAAACGTTAACATCGTCAACAAATAATGACTCATGAATTGAGTTATTTGCAACTGCTAACGGATTTTTAATCCTAATTAAGTTAGAAGTGACAGACATTATACTACCTTGTGGGAACCATGATCCCATGACAATGATCAGACAGTTTAGAACTCTCAAATGCCCTGTCTTTTATAAACTGAGATAGACAATGAAGGCAAACGACCTCTAAAGCAAAATAATGGATCTCTGAAGAGTTTGGAATATGCACAGATGCAAAATAAATATCGCAGTGCCCATATTTTTCATAGTTTCAATATGTTACCATTAACTATAGGAAAGGAACATATCCAAGCCTCAATTTTCTTTTATTTCTGAATTAACTGACCCTCAAGGGCAGATCTAAACGCAAAAAGACCGAAATGTTGTAGTCTATTCATACACGCAAACCTGACATAAATTGGCTCATTTTGTAGTGATGTTAACTATGATCATATGATATATACAAGTGCGGTCATTTCTAAGATTTTGTCATACTATCCTCAAGAAATCACACCAGTATTAATAACCGAGCATAATGTCAATATTTGGTGGAATCTCCGCAATTACATACTTGAATCTCCTCCTCATTGACTGCATCAGAAGTTGAATTTGACCTTGAGATATTGCCTTCCATTCTTGATGGGGGTTTGTTCCAATACATATAGGTTATATCATATCACGCGTGTGTGTTTTGGGATGGTTAATATCCTCATTAAGAATAAACATTGTATTCAGCGAGCCTTGGCCACCTAAATACATAGTGTTGATGAGAACACGTATTGTACATGAAGCTCGCCTTTGATCGTTGTACGTGCATATATACAATCAATGTATGGTGCGTCTGAATGATCAAAATAATCAAACAAACAAATATAATTATCAAATGAATATAAATGGCTATATTTGGGTTAAAAGGCATAGGTGTTGCGTTACTATTTTCCATGAGTATATCTGTTTTAGGGGTTGTATCACAGACTAGGTCTGTATATACACTTTGACTAAATCGATGTTAACACCAACATGCATACATTTAATGTTCTGATAATTATACATTGTAGGAGGTATTTTATTTGTCTCCGATTATTTTTCTGTCCCTGACGGAATAAGACGTTGAGCATGATACCAATCAGTGGCTAGATTTGAATGTATACAGGCTGTTGTCATCTGGACATATACATAGGTGTGGCGTTAAACAACAAGCGAACATAAACCACACATATTCATCAGCCGTTATATCAGTTACAACTAACCACGTTATTTCCAAACTTAGTCAGCTATCTAGTCAACATTATCAGCTTCTTTATCACCTTAGACAAACTAAAAATGCACGGAAATGTGCACAAGTGGCCAAGTCTAGGCGCTATACAGATCTCCCTAGTCATGTCCCGATCCGCAGTCTTTGGTCGTAGGTTTGTCGCCATCATGATCCTTGGTCTCAAAACATCACACCTAACCTCGCGAGCGTCACCACGGTGACAAACGTGTCACACTGAATTGATGACAATGCCGTAGGAGTGTCTCTATCGATGGCTCACTTGTCTGAGTGCATATGCACAAATGTTGTATCAGTCAGACATGCCAAGGTTCATGGGTTTCAGTCCCGGTTTTCTTTTATAATGATTCTTGGTTTAATAGCACCATGCTCGGAAATGTGGAAAACCTGTAACACCCTGTTCTTTCCTCCCACCCTTCAAACCCAAAACCTGTATCAGGCTGTTCTTTCCTATCAACCGCCGAAACCTATATCAGTCTGTTCTTTCCTCCCATCAAACGCCGAAACCTGTATCAGTCTGTTGTTTTCCTCCCATGCGAAACCTGTATCAGTCTGTTCTTTTCCATCCCATCAAAGGGTCAGAAACCTGTATGCAGGCTGTTCAGTCTTTCCTCCCCATCAAACGCCGAAACCCGTATCAGTCTGTTTCTTTCCTCCCATCAAACGACCTAATACCATGTATATCTGTTCTCTGCTCCATCAACCAATGAAATCCGTATCAGTCTGTTCTTTTCTCCATCAAACGCCGAAATTTTATCGGTCTGTTCATTTCTTCCCATCAAACGCCGAAACCTTTATCAGGCTGTTCTTTCCTCCCATCAACCGCCGAAACCTTTATCAGGCTGTTCTTTCCTCCCATCAAACACCGATACCCGTATCAGTCTGTTCTTTCCTCCCATCAAACACCGAGAGCCCTGCTTATCAGTCTGTTTCTTTCTTCCCATCAAACGCCAGAATATTTATCAGTCTGTTCTTTCCTCCCATCAAACGCCGTATCAATCACCTTATCATATAATGCCATGTGCATTGTACTTCACATGTGTAAGCATGATTTCTTAACTGTTTTCTCTCTTTAAATCATGTGTCAAAATAAAATGTCAAAACGGTTTTCTCTTTTCTCGAGAGCAAAACTCGAAAACGGTCAATCATCCTACATTATTCTACATATGATAACATGCATGAATAATTCTACATTATCCCTGATTACCTTAGCCATTACCGTAAGCTCAGGTGGCTACTCACATGGATGCAGTTCACATTTGTAATTATGTTCGTTGGTGGTGATAATAGATAAACATGTTACCACTGGTATACCGGCCCTCGGTATATGAAACTTGATCACCCTGAAGATATTTCCGATTGAATGAAAACGTACTGGTGTCATCTTATGTAGTTCTTTTCGTTTCGGTCTTGATATAAATAAACTATTAAAACGCCAACATTAGTCTTAGTCGATACGGGTCTTTTTCTTCATTGGGACTTAAAGATGCATCAACGAGTAATGAAAACACAACAATCAATGGAATTAACCTGAGAAGTGTCAATCACTTACATATTTCTGATTATCGATAATCTTAACAACAACATTTTGGTAGCCAACAAAATACAATACTCAAGTAATACTGTAAGTAAATATTAAAACGCAACTTTAGTCGCTACGGATCCCTATCTTCATTGGGACTACTATGTCTTGCCACTAAAAGATGCATCAACGAGTAATGAAAACACAACAATCAATGGGATTAATCCGACAAGTGTCAATCACTTACATATTTCTGATTATCGATTATCTTAACAACGTTTGGTTGCCAACAAAATACAAAATTCAGCACCAGCCTGGGCTCCAGTTGCCTCCATAGAGATCTGGATTAGATTTAGGGTCAGATGGTGGTTGATAAGCTGGTACTCGCGTCTTCTCCCAGTTTTCAAGGCGTTGTTTCATCATCGTTACAAGCTCAGGGTACTTTGCAGACAGGTCGAAATGTTCAGTTGGGTCGGAGGTGATATTGTACAGCATATACGGAGGGAACGTGTCCTTGTTGTCCTGAACAGTGGCATCTGAACTCTCACCAGACGTTGGAAGAGGATTCCAATCACTGTGACTTCCCGGGAACCCTCGCATTAGTTTGAGATCACCATATCTAATTGCGGAGGAGTTGGTCTTGTAGCGAATGTTGTAGACGAACTCGTTCCTCTTACTCGGTCCACCATTGATCAGCATGTCGTACTGACTGACTCCGTCCATGTTGGGATCGGTATTCTTTCCACCAGCCAGCTCCACCAAGGTCGGGTACCAGTCCACAGCATGCATCATTCCAGTGTTGAGGTAGCCCGTCTTCTTGAGAAGGGTTTTACTATAGATGAAAGCAGCTCCTTTCGTTCCCCCTTCCCACAGTGTACCCTTAGATCCACGTAGAGGAAGATTGTTAGCAGCAATGTAATAAGGTCCGCCATTGTCAGTCGTGAACACCAACAGCAAGTTGTCAATGAGTCCCGTTTTCTCCAAGGCATTCGTGATGTTAGCAACAGCTTCATCAAGGGCACTGATCATACCGCAGTACGTCCTTCGTGGTATGTTCTGGATATGCTTGTACAGGTTTACATACTCTGGGGGAACTTGTAGAGGTGCGTGTACTGCTTGAAACGGCAGATACATATATAACGGCGTGTTCTTATCGTGAGATTTGATGATATCAACTGCCCGTTCTGCAAACACTCGAGTTGAATATTTACCCTTGACTTCTGTATACACAGAAGTATTAAAGCGAAAATCATATCCAGAAAAATGGTCATCTGCTCTTGTGTGGTTATAATAATTCTCAGCGCCGGTTAAATACCCAACAAACGTATCAAAGCCACGGTAGGTCGGAGTGTACTTTATGTTGCAGAAGCCTAAATGCCACTTCCCAACAGCATGGGTGCTGTATCCTAGTTCCTTTAACTTCTGAGGGAGGAAGGTGAACTTAATGGGAACAAAGCCAGGAGATGTTGGACTAATAACGCCGTCCTGTAGTCCAGTGTGGAAGGGGAAGTACCCAGTCATGAAACAGTTTCTGGATGGTGAACATACGGGCTGGACATAGGTGGAGTTGAGGATGACTCCGGCTTTGGCCAACTTGTCCAAGTGTGGCGTTAGAACCTGTGGATTACGGAATCCAACATCGTTCCAGCCCAGATCGTCTGCAACTATGAACACGATGTGGGGGCTAGCTGCTCGACTGCGGTTGAGGTAAACGAAAATAAGAGTAATAGTCGCAACAAGCTGTGTAGCCTTCATGACTGAAGCAGCTGTTTTGTTGATCTCGTTTAGCTAGACTGCACTCCAGATCTGGATTTATCGCCTACTCCACACATGTGATGCCACGTGAACATATGCCCCTTGCATGTGACAATTCTCAGCGATATTGCACAAACCTGACCCGGAATGTCGGACTACTTATCTCTATATACATTTGTAGTATGAAGAGTTAAGATCTGACAGACTAACATGTTAACGAAAATATTGGTCATTTATGAAAAAAAAACATATAACAAAAACGTAGCCTTGACACGGCAGTATTCTGGACTTGCTAACGATTTTATAGATGCATGGGTGAATTTATTTGTTATAGGGTTTGTATGGCAGACTAGGGCTTTGTACACATCTCATTTGATTACGCATACATATATTAAATGTTATGATGATGAATATTCTGACTTCTTGTCTTTTTATGTTTAATTCATTTGCCATGGATAATTTGTCTGTCCTTAACTGAACAGGAAGTTAGGCATGACACCAGTCAGTGACTTGACTCGAATACATACAGGCTGCTCTTTCTTGGCTATCAAGCTGTCGGTGGTTGATTTGTCTGAAGCTCCGTTTTTCAGTGTACAGTTCTGCAAAGGTACCAATGTTTATGGGTTTCAGTCCCGAGTCTCTTTCATAATGATTGAGATATTTGTTTGGATAAGTTCCTTTGCTTTAGTGAATGTTAACATGAACGTGTTGGTGAACATATACACTATGAAAATATATGTTGTGACACCCATTACCGTGCATATTTTCAGCACAACCGATGCATCTCCATAATAGTCCAGAATACTGCAGATTCCGGAGAAAGGTTCTGGGCTTCACATTGTCATTTTCTTAAACGGAAATCAACATTATTTCTGTAAAATGCTTTCAGACACGAAATGTCTATCAGACCCTTCATACCACACATACTTACATAGATAAGCAGTTACGAAACCCGGGCAAATATGACAAGTATCATTGAGAAATGCCTCAGGTAAAGCATATGTCCACGTGGCTAAACATGTGAATCGGAGGCATCAAAACCAGATCTGGGAATGCAACAGGCTTGCAAAGCCAGATCATCAATACAAGAGTCTCAGTCATGAAGGCTGCACACCTCCTTGTTTCTGTAGCCCTTATTTTCGTTTACCTAAGGGAAGCAGAGCAGCTAGCCCCCACATCGTGTTCATAGTTGCGGACGATCTGGACTGGAACGATATTGGTTTCCGTAATCCACAGGTTCTGACGCCACACCTGGACAAGTTGGCCAAAGCTGGAGTCATCCTCAACTCCACCTATGTCCAGCCCGTATGTTCACCATCCAGAAACTGTTTCATGACTGGGTACTTCCCCTTCCACACTGGACTACAGGACGGCGTCATCAGACCAAGTTCTCCAGGCGTTGTTCCCATTAAGTTCACCTTCCTCCCTCAGAAGTTAAAGGAACTAGGATACAGCACCCATGCTGTTGGGAAGTGGCATTTAGACTTCTGTAACACAAAAATACACTCCGACCTACCGTGGCTTTGATACTTTTGTTGGGTATTACATGGGTTCCGAGGACTATTACAAGCACTCAAGAACATATGGCGGATATTTTGGACATAATCTACGCTTTAACACTACTGTCTATAAAGAACCTGTTGGCAAATATTGAACTCACCTGTTTGCAGAAAGGGCAATTGATATCATCAAATCTTACGACAAGAATACGTCACTCTACTTGTATCTGCTATATCAGGCAGTACACGCGCCGCTACTAGTTCCTCCTGAGTATGAGAACCTGTACAAGCATATCCACAACTTAACACGAAGGATACTGCGGTATGATCAGTGCCCTTGATGAAGCTGTTGCTAACATCACTAATGCTTTAGAGGAAACGGGACTCATTGACAACTTGCAGTTGGTGTTCACGGCAGACAGTGGTGGTCCGTATCGCGGGGCTGCTAACAATCTTCCTCTCCGTGGAGCTAAGGGTACTCTGTGGGAAGTTGGGACAAAAGGAACTGGATTCATCTACAGTAAAACCCTTCTAATCAGCCGTAATATCAGTTACAACTATCTACGTTATTTCAAACCATAGTCAGCTATCTAGTCAACATTATCAGCTTCTTTGTCACGCTAGTAAAATTTATCATGCACGGGAATGTGCACATGTGGCCAAGTCTAGGCCTCCCTAATCATGCCATGATCCACAGTCCTTGGTCGTAGGTGTGTCGCCATTATGACCCTTGGTCTGAAAATTGAATGACAATTCTGTATCGGTGTTCACTTGACTGAGTACAATTGCACAAATGTTCCATCAGTCAGACTTGCCAAGGTTCATGGGTTTCAGTCCCGGTTTCCGTTTATGATGATTCTTGGTTTTAGCTGGGTGTATGGCGGCTGAGTGCACCGGTTAAGGGATAGCACTGATTTGCTGGACACAGCACATTAACCCTCACTTCACCCTGATGGATCATAAAATAGGCCCGTGCCTATCACGTAATGCCATGTGCATTGTATTTCACATGCATAATCTGGATTTCTTAACTGTCGCTACTTGAGTTATTTCTCTAATTACTTAACTGAACACATACTGACTTACATTAATGCAATTGTGCTATCATTTCCGGGCACATATCATCATCATTAATGGTTGATCTGGGACTTTGAAAACAAATGTCAGAAAATTAGAAACGGTTTTCTCTTGGTCGACAGCAAAAAGTCGGAAACAGTCAACCATTCTGCATTTATTAAAAACTGAGATCAAAATCCAGGTGAAAACAGCTCACAGATCAAACATCAAACACTTCACCAGGAAATTCAACAATGAAATCACATTTTCACATCACAACTTACATGAGAGGAACTGATATACAATTAAATCAAGTAGCATAGCTATACAAAAATCAATTAAAAAAACATTAACAAATGTGAATGATTCTACATTACCCCTCATTGCCTTAGCCATTAACGTAAGCTATCATCCTTATAAATCGCTACCCACATGAATACAGTCGCACGAGTAATTATGTTCGTTGAACGCGATAATAGATAAACATGTTACCAGTGCTATACCCGTCCTCGCTACACGGAACCTTGATCGTCATCGTGATATTGCCGAATGAATCTTATATTTTCTCTCAGTGAGTCGTTTCGGTCAAGATGTAAGTAAAGTATCAAACGCAACAAGTCGAAGTCGATAAGGATGCCCTGTCTTCATTGGTACGACTATGGTTTGCCACTAAAAGATGCATCATTAATCAAAACAACAATCAATGGGATTAGCCTGAGAAGTACCAATCACTTACATATTTCTGATTATCGATGATCATGAGAACAGTGTTTTGGTAGCTATTTAAAAACAATATTCAGCACCAGCCTGGGCTCCAGTTAAGTTGCTCCATAGAGTTTTGGATTGGATTTGGGGTCAGCTGGTGGGCGATAAGGTGGTACTCGCGTCTTCTCCCAGTTTTCAAGGCGTTGTTTCATCATCGTTACAAGCTCAGGGTACTTAGCAGACAGGTCGAAATGTTCAGTTGGGTCGGAGGTGATATTGTACAACATATACGGAGGGAACTTGTCCTTGTTGTCCTGAACAGTGGCATCTGAACTCCCACCAGACGTTGGAAGAGGATTCCAATCACTCGTTCCTCTTACTCGGTCCGCCATTGATGAGCATGTCGTACTGACTGACTCCGTCCATGTTGGGATCTGTGTTCTCTTCACCAGCCAGCTCCACCAAGGTTGGGTACCAGTCCACAGCATGCATCATTCCAGTGTTGAGGTAGCCTGTCTTCTTCAGAAGGGTTTTACTGTAGATGAATCCAGTTCCTTTCGTCCCACCTTCCCAGAGAGTACCCTTGGCGCCACGTAGAGAAAGATTGTTAGCAGCCGCGCGATACGGCCCGCCGTTGTCAGTCGTGAACACCAACAGCAAATTGTCAATGAGTCCCGTTTCCTTTAAAGCGTTCGTGATATTGGCAACAGCTTCATCAAGTGCACTGATCATACCGCAGTACGTCCTTCGTGGTATGTTCTGGATATGCTTGTACAGGTTCTCATACTCAGGAAGAACTTGTAGAGGTTCGTTTACTGCTTGAAACGGCAGATATAGATAATGTGGCGTGTTCCTGTCGTGAGATTTGATGATATCAACTGCCCGTTCTGCAAACACTCGAGTTGAATATTTACCCTTGACTTCCGTATATACAGATGTATTAAAGCGAAAATCATAGCCAGAAAAATTGTCATATCCTCGTGTGTGGTTATAATAGTTCTCAGCGCCGGTTAAATACCCAACAAAGGTATCAAAGCCACGGTAGGTCGGAGTGTACTTTATGTTGCAGAAGCCTAAATGCCACTTCCCAACAGCATGGGTGCTGTATCCTAGTTCCTTTAACTTCTGAGGAAGGAGGGTGAACTTGATGGGAACAAAGCCAGGAGATGTTGGCCTGATGACGCCGTCCTGTAGTCCAGTGTGGAAGGGGAAGTACCCAGTCATGAAACATGAAACAGTTTCTGGATGGTGAACACACGGGCTGGACATAGGAAGAGTTGAGGATGACTCCGGCTTTGGCCAACTTGTCCAGGTGTGGCGTCAGAACTTGTGGATTACGGAAACCAACATCTTTCCAGCCCAGATCGTCCGCAACTATGAACACGATGTGGGGGCTAACTGCTGTACTTCCACTTAAGTAAACGAAAATAAGGACAACAGTCGTAACAAGATGTGCAGCCTCCATGCTTGCTTCTGGTGTGCTACTGATCTACTTGCTACTGGTGTGCTACTGATCTACTTGCTACTGGTGTGTTACTGATCTACTTGCTACTGGTGTGCTACTGATCTACTTGCTACTGGTGTGCTACTGATCTACTTGCTACTGGTGTGCTACTGATCTACTTGCTACTGGTGTGCTACTGATCTACTTGCTACTGGTGTGCTACTGATCTACTTGACACTTGGTGTTTCACTGATCTGACACATCGAGACTGGTATGTTAGAGGTCTGGTGTTATCGCTGTATCATGTGATGTTTCGTTATCCACTGTATTTCGTTAAAAAAAAATCACGGAAAAACTCCAGTTCTGTTGCTCACAACGCTATCGGGACTGATTATCTAACTATGGATGATATGAAAGGTCAAGGTCTGATAGACTAACGTCGAGTTTGTCAAATGAATGTATCTTACAGAAATAGCAGTTCTAGTGAATTATTCAAATGCAATGTACAATATGACGAAACGGAGTCGACATGTTTTGCACACAATTGCTACAGCCGTAGATAACTGCATTATTATTCTGCCAGATTCTGTTCCGGGTATTCTGAACATAAGAAAGTGCCCACGTTTTGTGCGATCCCGACGTACCGAAGCAGCAGCGATAGTGCTGGTTTTCCAGAAAATCAATCACTGAAGTGTCACGAATATGTACAGGTTGGCGTCATGAACGGTTTGGGCATATTGGACTAAATGTTTGATAGGCATTTAGAAGTTGGTAGGGTAATACAACACACTTGATATGGATGTGCAACTTCTTTATCATTTACACACGACGTTTCTGGGCTAATACTTGCCCCTTCATCAGGTGATTCCTCCCAACTCATTCAGCTGATGAAGGGCAAGTATTAGCCCAGAAACGTCGTGTAAATAAATAAAGAAGTTGCACAGAAACGTCGTGTAAATAATAAAGAAGTTGCAAATCTATATCAAGTGTGTTGTATATTGCACTAAGTCTACGCCCTGCAAATCGTTGCACAGAGTTACGATCATTGGTCTTACAACATCATACCCATTCTCCACCAAAGTGGTAATTAAAACGTGTCACTTTAAATTTATGAGTCATAAATGCCCTAGAAGTTGTTTTATCGGTAGTTCACTCGTCTAATGCGCCGCGTTTGGAAAAAATCATTTCGTGACAGCGACTTTGATCCCTGATATAACAACTTGACTACAGTGAGTGAGTATGGTTTTATGCCGCTCTAAGCAATATTCCAGCAATATCACGGCGAGGGACACCGGAAATGGGCTTCACACATTGTACCCATGTGGGGAATCGAACCCGTGTCTTCGGCGTGACGAGCGAACGCTTTAACCATTAGGCTACCCCACCGCCTCCTTGACCAAAGAGGCGATATGCTGATTACAAATAAAACGACGTCCAGATGAATAAGGTTATGTTTTGCATGTTGAGGGCAGTAAACTCGCGCTTGATTACCAAGAACGCGAAAACAGCCCTCAAACAATTAACCGGTGAAGATTCGGGTTAGATCTGTTCCTAAGCGGATATTTGTCCTCTGAGTCGACTGTGCTGATAGTAAGAGGTGACTAACGGGATTGGGAATTCAGGCACGCCTACTAGGCTACCATGTCATGTTTCTCAATTGCATAGATTCATCTTCATGATGTCAATCACTGGATTGTCAGGTCGATATTCGATTATTTACAGGCCGCCGTCGTTTATCAGGAATATTGCTGGGTTAAACAACAAACAACCATACAAGCATACAAGCATACAAGCATACAAGCATACAAGCATACAACCATACACACAAACCACGAACAGCCTTCTTGTATGCCTAACACACGTCGATCTCATTGCCGCTTGTCTCTTTCATTATCAATGGTATTCGAAGTCTATTTAGCGGACACTGAACCCTCTGATTGTTCGAGTGATACGAACTGAATACAGTGAAAGGGGATTATATTCGAACAATTAATTGTATCATGATTGAAACAGCTTGAATGTTTCGCAATAGGATTCATGATAAACATCAGCAGCATCCACTACTTGGATGACTCATGAGTCAATGACCGAGGCCTAGTTAATGTATCACTGTTACACTTTAGCTAAACTTAAGCTGTACTCAAGCTGCACCTCGCTGAAAATAGTTACATAACAAAAAACTCCCGTAAAATAAAAACTGAAACGCTAAAATTAAATTTTTAAAAACCAAAACAAGAATAAAATACCGTGAAACTAAAAAACCCGAAACAGACAGACATTTTATTCAGTAATAGGCCACTGGCCCAAAATACATCCACAGATATGATAAGAAGTAACATGCGTTTTACAGAAAAACATCAGAATCTCTTATTTTCCCAACTCTGTATACAAATAAGGATAAATTATTTATTACATTTATGTTTGTTGAAGACATTATGTTGATAAAACTGAGTTGTGAAACAGGATGTTTCAAACAGTTATCCAGACACTTATCCCTTATATCTAGGTAGGCTTTACAATAAAGTAAACATGTATTTCATCTTTAATTAAATTAATATTAATTTTGTGGCAAAAAGGACAGAATCTTGAATCATAAGGGACATTGTCATATCTACTGCTCTCAGAACTAAGTATAAATTTACCACATATAAATTTTGTTAAACAATTTCTTAAATATGGGACAATATCTAAACTGAGATAAGTGTCAACATTCAGGAGGGACTTGAAAAGTATATAATTAGAACACTTGGCTGTATTATGAAGGGGTGAGTACCAATCTTGTGAAAGATTATCAGACAATCGCTGCTTAAAAACAAAAAAGCCAAACCCAAATCTACATACAATATTCTTGATATTAGATGCCCATGTCGTCCGTCCAGGTTCGTCCAAAGACTTTAACATTAAATAAAACTGATGAGGTAATCTACAACTTGGAAGAGTTAAAAGTTTACACCAATATCTAACTGCCCTTAACATTTAAGTAAGTTGAAGAGGGAATCTACCACATTCACCAAGAACAATGCAGATTGTTGCATGTATTTTTACCAACTTTTAAGAAATATTTACATGCTTTATCTGGATTTGTTCAATGATTTTACAATGGGTAACACGATGAAATACACAATGCCATTTTAGAAAGTGTAATCCCAAATATAACATATGTTACAAATGGGTAACACCCCAAATTTTCTGGACCGTAACAAAGAATAGGTTTAACAATAGCATCAAATATTTTTAAAAGATCCGCACATGACAGATAACATACTCTTTTTGGTATCTATAGATAGACATAATGGCTTGAGAAGCAAGAATAGTGTGAGCTTTAGTCCAAACTTGCCTAGGAGTGAACACAATACCCAAATACCTGTAGTATGAAACAACTTCCAGCCTTGGACCATAAAGAAACCACTTTCCATACTGTCTAAGGGGTCCACTATTCCTGAAAACAATAACTTTAGTCTTATCAATATTGACCTTCATACCAGTGAGTTGACAAAAATTCTCAAGACCATGAATCTTCTTCTGAAGCTGGAAAGCAGTATCCGAGACTGAGGGAACATCATCCGCAAACATAAGAGCATATAAATTATTAACATCAGGTGTAATAAATATCATACTTTCCATAAGCTGATTAATAAAGATAATAAACAATTGGGGACTGAGGATGCAACCCTGCCTAGTACCTATACTACAATCAAAATAACTGTATCAAAGGCCTTTGAGAAATCTATAAGTAGACAATAGAACCTTCCTTTCTTCTTACATGAATATTTCTGTACCATAGCTTGAAGTGAGAAAAAGTGGTCAGTAGTAGAATAATTACTCCTGAATCCTGCCTGAGCTTCATGAATAATATTCTTCTCCTCACACCAAACTTTTAACCTACGATTGAGAATGTAAATGAATATTTTACACACAGAATCAATAAGAGAGATACCTCTATAATCATTGGGGTTACTTTTTACAACAGATTTGTAAAAAGGACAAATAATGCTTTCACCCCCAAACGCTAAAATTAAATTGATAAAACAAAACCAAGCAAAATAACATTTTGTTGGGATATTTTTTGTTTGGGTTTGCTTTATTTTATTTGTTTATTTTAGCGAGGTGCATCTTGAAAACAAATAGGAAATAGTAATATCAAATATAAAACACTAATTAGCCTTTTATTCATATTATCTCGTATAATATCTCATTCGGGATATTATTGAGTTAAATGAAATATCAATATGATCAGAAAGAATAAACAAAGGGATTAGAAAAATAAACATTTCACTATACGGAATGTAATTTATAAACGACATAAAATCTAGAATGTGAACATAATCACGAACAGAATTCTAAACTCGTTCATGAATAAAGCACATGACACAAGAGGAGTTGCTTGTATTTCAATATTTGTTCCGAGGACCTAGTCGTCCACATTAAGAACGGCCACAAACTAGGCAATTGTTGTGTGAGGCTCGGTCGTGTTGAATCGGTGCCGTCTGGTAACAATCGAAAAAGTGGGGGATTTATTTCACAATTTATTCCTATGGTTCTCAATGGGATGGTGCGCCATTGCTAAATGTATCCTATGTCAACATCGCTTCGCAACAAAATACAGAAGCGCACCAAACTCTCTTCCGGTCAGCAGGAAGTAATATCTGATTAAACACGGAAGTAAAGCTGAAACAACCTATTGTGTTTTTTAATGCATCGGATACATCACCATGTTGGCTGAGTCATTGTAATCATTCCTCAGAAATAAATGATGTTTTCGATGGAGTTAAGTTCTGTTTATTATCATGTTGACTTCCGCTTGGTTATGTTTGAAGACTGTGAGCTTGTCTCAATATACAGAGGTGTGAAGTTGTTCATTACATGACTAGACGGTGTTTGGTGTCCAAGCGTGAGTGACGAACTCTGAATGCTGAGCACTATCACAGGAACATTTTAACGTGTTTACACTACTTAAAACCTATAATGTAACAGACTACTACTGATCATAATAAGAGTAGAATTAGTCGAAATTGTATGCA